AAGTCATTGGGGGCCAGATCAGGTGAGTAGGGAGGGTGTTTCAATATAGCTATTTTTTCACTGGCTAAAAACTCCCTCACAGACAGTACCTGTGTGAGCTGGTGCATGGCTGTGATGCAAGAGCCATACCTTTCTCATGCCAAAATTTTCAGTTAAGATTTTCTGAAATATTGATGCTTCTCACAGTCAGTCAATAATTTTGACACACGATTTGATGAACTTTTGGAAGATTTTTGTCAGTTCTGCTCCTGACTGGCCACTCTGACCTCTATTCATTAATAACACTTTCTCTCCCCTCAAAAAAAAAAATTTGATCTGGGCAGCGCCTCTGGCTCAAAGGAGTAGGGTGCTGGCCCCATATCATGGAGGTGGCAGGTTCAAATCCAGCCCCGGCCAAAACAAAAAACATTTCATCCATTTGTACACTTCTGTTTTCTTCAGGGGATTAACCCCAGAAACTTGGACTAACATGTCCCTGATATCTCTTCCACTCTTGCCAAGTTTAACAAGAAATTTATGAAGGTTTGTTCCTTGCTCTAATTCAAGCATCAACATTCTTGCACACAAAACATGCAACAATAATAATGAATGCCACTCAGCAAGACACCACCACAAGTTCACATGAATACAGCTGTGACACACTGACATACCAAGGCCATGAAACCTTGCTGAGTTGTTTGTACAGTGCTGCCAATGTAAGCGCCCAATGGCAAGTTCTCAAACTTAATTGTCAAGCCTTCATAGATGAAACTTGAATGGGGTCTGAGGTAGTCATGTGAGTTTCCTGATTTTTCTGGGTGTCTTGTGGTTGTGTAGTCCTTGTCTGCAGAAAGCACTGAGGTATCCAGGGATGATGGGACACCAAATTGGCAACTTACTTTCAAATGGTTCAGGAAAAAAGAAGAAAAAGGGTATTTTTTATTGTACTTTTGGCTTTTCTGTAAGCTTGAGCTAGATAGTTTCTTTTTTCTTTCTTCTTTTTTTTTTTTAACACAGAGCCTCAAACTGTCGCTGTGGGTAAAGTGACGTGGCATCACAGCTCATAGCAACCTCCAACTCCTGGGCCTAAGCGATTGTCTTGCCTCCACCTCCCAAGTAGCTGGGACTACAGGTGCCCGCCACAATGTCCAGGCATTTTTTTTTTTTTTACTTGTAGTTGTCATTGTTGTTTGGCAGGCCTGGGCTGGATTCGAACCCACCAACTCTGGGCCTTTTTTGTTTTTTCTTTGAGACAAAGTGTCACTATGTCGTCCTGGGTAGAGTGCCATGGTGTTACAGCTCACGCAACCTCAAACTCTTGGGCCTAAGCCATTCTCTCGCCTCAGC